AAACCCTGGACCACATTCATCCTCCCCTGGCCCTTCACAAGACAGATCAACAACAACTCTGGGACCAAGCTTCAGGCAGAGACAGTCTGGTCTGTTTCCAGCCACTCGGTTAGCCATGTGGGGCATCGCAAGGACCTGCTGGTTTCAGCTCTGCACGAACTCACCCAGAACAAGCACTAGTGGAGGAAGTAAGAGGAAGACTTCTTCTAATCTAGAGACTTACAGTTTAGTGGTGGAGAATATTCATGCTGGGGGTGGTCTGTGCCTGGTTGAGCCCAGCTCTGTCACTTATGAGCTTATGACCTTGAACAAGTTACTTAACATCTCTGGGCCTAAGTTGTCTTATCTATAAACTGAGATTAATGAGTATCCTCTTTGAATAGTTATGAAAATTAGAGAATTGATAAATCTGAAACACTTAAAGGAACATCGAGTATACAGTAAGCACCATATAAGTGTTTACTATTGTTATTGCTATTATTATTATTACAATGAATAATGGGCAAAGCTGGACAACAATGGGATGGGCTGTTTTGAGGAGAGTATTCCATCACCGGTGTAAGCAGAGCTGAGGTGGTTGTAGGGTTCAGCTTTGGACCTTGAGTTTCAATGCTAGTGAGACATCCAATTAGGCTTATTGAGCATTATTCATTCTTTTTTCTTTTCTTTTCTTTTTTTAAGTAGGCTCCACACCCAGCATGGAGCCCAACATGGGGCTTGAACTCACGACCCTGAGATCAAGACCTGAGCTGAGATCAAGGGTTGGACGCCTGACCCCCCAGGTGCCCCATTATTCATTCTATTTATTTAATTCCACAAATGTATACCGAGCAGCTATTCTGTACCTGACACTATGGTAGGTCCTGGAGATACTGGGATGAATCAGACAGTCCCAGCTCTCAAGGACCTGATAATCTAGGATGGATGGGAAGTAGGAATCACCTCTTGTGTAGCGAGTTAAGTGCCACAATACCAGCACATATGAGGCTCATAGACAGCCAGGGGAGGGAATCAGGGCAGGCTTCCTGGAAGAGGCAGGAAGAAGCAAGGTCCCCTGGACCATATTCAGGATCTGGGGAATGCAGAGTAGGGAAGATCTGCCCTTGCTGGCCCATGATTAACAGAAGATTTGGCTTCCAGTGCTGGTAGTCATTTTCCCCAGGCCCTATACTAAGTGGAATCACTTGGGCCTTCCCATCCTTACTGCTTCTGGAAAAGAAAATTCTTGTGAGTCTCTAAGATGTTTTCCAAATCTCTTTGCACACACATTTTATTGATCAAGGTTTCAGTATGATGGTTTTGCCTCAATCCCTTTATCTTTTGGTGGAGGGAGATGGAAATTGAAGTTTCTTCAGAAGGAGGTTCAATCATAACCAAAAGAGACTGCATTTCCTGGATCACTGAATCAAGACAGCTTGAGCCAAGAGGATTGGGCTAATTTCTGTGCTGCTGCATCCCTGTCCGAGACAGTTCCCCGCCTTGGCGTGCTCCTTGCCACAGATGTTCCTATTGTGAATTTATGCCAACCATGTTCAAAGTGACCACATGAAGGGGTAAAGCCCTGGGGAGTCAGGAGAAAAATTAAAAAAGAAAGCCACACACATGTACTGTTTACTCGATAATAAAGACAAATATGTTCACATCCTGTCATCTCAGGCATGAATAACTCCAGTAATGCTCTCAGCGAGGAGGCCCTGTCAGGAAACACTGCCAAGTTTCTCCTTCCCCTTCCTGACTTCCATTCTTGCCTGCCTGTTCTTCAGGCTCTGGTTAGTGCTTTCAATTCTTTCTGTTCTTTGTTAATTACCCCTCTTTCAGCCAGGATCACGGTCGGTCTGGCAAGGAGCACGCCAAGGTGGGGAACTGTCTGGGACAGGGATACAGCAGCACAGAAATTAGCCCAATCCTTTACTCCTATTATCGAGTAAATAGTACATGTGTGTGGCTTTCTTTTTTAATTTTTCTCCTGACTCCCCAGGGCTTTACCCCATTAGGGGGTTGGCTTTCGAAGTTTGCTGCCCATGAGAGTTATAGTACCCTGACCAATGACGTCAGAATTTCTGGGGGTGGGGCCCAAGCATCAGCGTTAAACTCCCCAGGTGCTTCCAATGTGCACTGAAGTTTGAGAACCTCTGAGCTGGACCCTCACTATTCAAAGTGTGGTTGGTGGAGCTGCAGCCCCACCAGGGAGCTTGCTGGAGATGCACATTCTCAGTTCCCACCAAAGACTTACTGATTCTGAATCTGCATTTTAACAAGATCACCGAGTGTATAAAAGTTTGAGAAGCAGTTACTCTTTTGAAGCATTGGCCAGTCTGGCAAAAATGAGCCCAAATTCTGTCTTGGCAACTACCTGCAGGAGCTGGGTGGTAGCTGCCCCATTTAAGAGAGGATTCGACACTCAGTTTGCCTGCGTCTCACACTTCGTTAGGTTCATTAACTTCCATCACCTGGCTGGGCCCAGTCAGAATTTGAGTTGTTCTAAAATTTATTATAAAATAAAGTTTACCGGGACGCCTGGGTGGCTCAGTCGGTTAACTGGCTGCCTTCGGCCTGGGTCATGATCCCAGGGTCCTGGGATCGAGTCCCGCATCGGGCTCCTTGCTCAGCAGGGAGCCTGCTTCTCCCTCTCTCTCCCTCTGCTTGTGCTCTTTCTGTCAAATAAATAGAATCTTAAAAAAATAAAATAAAATAAAATAAAGTTTACCGTTAGTAACATGTAGTGCGTTCACGATGTTGTGTAACTGTCACCACTATCTAGTTCCAGAACATTTCATTACCCCAAAAGGAAACCTCATATTTATTAAGCAGTCACTCCCCAGCCCCCTTTCCCCTCAGCCTCTGGCAACCATTAATCTGGTTTTCTGTCGCTATGACTTTGCTTATTCTGGATGTTTCATAGAAAAGGAATGCATAATGTTTTCAAGGTTCATCCATGTTGCGGCATGTATTGGTACTCTTCCTTTTTTGGCTGAATAATATTCCTTTGTATGGGCATATCTCATTTCATGTATCCATTCATCATTTGATGGATATTTGGGTAGTTTTAACCTTCTGGTTACTGTGAGTAGCGCTGCTCTGAACATTTGTATGCAAGTTTTTGTTTGCATACCTGTTTTCAATTCTCTGGGCTATGTGGAATTGCTGGGGCAGAGTTTTAGAACAACCTGGCACACTGAGGTTTCACACCAGTGTTCAACGGGTAAAATTTGAGCAGCACAACCTAGTGGTTCTACTCTATTGAGTGTGTGTGTGTGTATATATATACATATATATAAACATATATATATGTTTAAGCTGGAGAACATTATATAAAGTGGAATGGAACTGCTGACTCATGTGATAATTCTATGTGTAACTTTTTGAATAGCCAAACTGTTTTCCATAGCAGCATTTTATATTCCTACCAGTCATGTTTGAGGGCTCCAATTTCTCCACATTCTTGCCAACACTTGTTATTGTGTTATTTTTTCCCCCCTTAATTCTAGTCATCCTAGTGGTGGTGAAGTGGTATCTCACTCTGCTTTTGACTTGTATTTACCTAATGAGTAGTGATGAATATCTTTTCATGTGTTTTTGGCCATTTGTATATAGTCTTTAGAAAAATGTCTATTTAAGTCCTTTGCTTATTTAAAAACTGGGTTGCCTTTTTGTTATTGAGTCGTAAAATTTCTTTATGTATTCTGGATACTGGGCCCTTTTCAGATACATGATTTGCAAATATTTTCTACCATTCTGTGAGTTGTCTTTTTCATTTTCTTGATGTTCTTTGATGTACAAAAGTTTTAAATTTTGATGAAGTCCAATTTATCTATTTTTTTCTTTTGTTGTTTGTGCTTTTGGTATTATATGGAATTTGAGATTTTGTCACCTGGACAAGGTCAATGGATAGGAAGAGAAAGGGATCTGAGGGGAAAGGGAACAGGGATTTCTCGAGGTCTCCATCTCCAGTTCAACCAGAAGATCTGAGCATTTATCTGCTTTATATAATGATCTCCAAATATATATGTAATCAATAGATTAGAACCACTAGGTTGTGCTGCTCAAATTTTAACCATGGAAAACAAGTGTGAAACCTCGGTGTGTCAGATTGTTCTGAAAACTAGTCCTAAATGGTATATGTAGTAATTAAAACATTGTGTTTCCTGGTTTCAATTAAATTTCATTTGTAATAAAAAAGCATACATTTTTGGAAAAGCAAGCAATGTTTCTCGCAAAATGCTCCATTTACCACACTTTTGGTAATTCAGGATTTGGTTCAAATCCAAACCCACTGTCTACCTGGTGGCATCTCACCCACACTGAAGGAATATTCTATGGTAAATATAGCCAAGTTCATGCACACCAGCTTTGGTACCAGGTGCTGTATTTGCCTGATGTCACAGAGCAGGTGAGAGTTTGAACCCAGGGGTTCCCATTTCAAATCTAAGGCTCTGTCCCCTAGGCCATACTTTCAAAGTGAAGTCAGATGAATCATCCATTGATCTTTTTTTAACAGACAGCACTAGTGTTACTAGCTGCTATTATTTTTGGAAGCTTTCTATATGCCAGGCATTGTGCTGAAAACCTTTACAGCTAATCTTTCCAACAACCCAGGAAGCGGTTCCGTAATTATCCTCGTTTTACTACTGAAGAAACCGAACTGAGGTTACATAACTTGTTCCAGCAACCAGTGGTAAATGTCAGAGCTAGAACTTAACCCAGAGCTGACTCCTAGGCCCATATTCTGAAGCACCAAGCAAGACTATTATTTTAAAGATGACCGGGTCCTGAAAACTGACCTCAGCTCCGCCCCTTCTAGATTACATTCTAGCAGGTATTCTCGGCTCCCGACGCGGCGCAAGCTCCGCCCACCGCCCGCCCTTCCGCCCGGGTCTCCTCAAATTGCGCAGGCGCTCTCCTTCTCAGAGGCTGTACTGTGGAGTCGACGGGTTGGCGGGCACGCTTTGGCGCGCCAATGCGCATGCACGGGGGTAGAGCCTCCGCCCTTTGGGGAGCTTGGAGATGGCGGCAGCCGGGGACGGTTCGCGGGAGCCGGCGGCCTCGGAGCCGCCGGCGGAGCTGCCTGCCTCGGTGCGGGCGAGCATCGAGCGGAAGCGGCAGCGGGCGCTGATGTTGCGCCAGGCCCGGCTGGCGGCCCGGCCCTACCCGGCGACGGCGGCTGGGGCTACCGGAGGTTTGGGCCCTGGCAGCGCCTGCCCCTTCCCTCTGGCGGGCCGGGTGCCGCGTCCTAGGTGCAGCGTCGGCTGCCCGCGCGTCTGCGCGCCTGTCCTCCCGCAGTCCCGGGAGTCCGCTCTGCGGGCCGTTTGAAAGCGGGCTTATGACCAGCGGTTCCGCGCTGGAGCTGAGGCTTTCCTCACTGCACCCGGGTGGCCCAGCTCTCTTCTTAGGCTTGGGGGATGCAGCCGCCCTCACCGTCGGGAGGTGCCAGCCAGTGTCGGTCGGCGCCCTAGCTTTCCTTTTCTGTTCCAGCTGCGCGTCCGCCGGTTCCAGGGGCAGTCCTTGTTTAAAGCTTTTAGACTTGTCGCCCATTTCAGCAATCATCCTGCACCGCGCCCGAATTCATCCACTCAACGAAGGGCGATTGAGTGCATATTCCGGATCCCGCACAGTGCTCGCTACGTGCTGGGCACAGAGAGAGCAGACAGGAGCTACTGCCTTCGTGAGGCTCTCAAGAGTAGCACCTGTTGTGTTTCGGGTCTTTCAAGTTAGCTAACTTGATTCTCACTGTAAACTTGTTAAATAATTAGGGCAGCGTTTGGTACTGGTGTTTTACTGCGGTGGTAATTGAGGACCAGAAAAGGACAGGGATCTGCTCAGGTTCATACCCGCAAGTGCGCAAGCTAATCAGGACTAGAATTGAGCTCATCTGATACTGGGTTCACGGCCTTTCCTTTTCACCAACTGCTTCTGTGCCAGGCATTGCCTCACTTTTAGGAAGAAAGGCTGTTATTTTTGTCTTAATTTTATCTTTCCCCCTTTCTTAGGGCAGCCCTTGACTGCGTGTCTTTCATGTATGAACATTTCTGTCACTTAGTTTTCCACTGTAGTCCAGTAATAATCTTCCCTAGGGTACTTAAAATAGTTTGGTTGACATGTAGGTCTTCAGGACTGCCTCTGTAACGGGAAGTACGCGTGTTCCTAAAGCTATATCCCATACTGTGTGAGTAGTTGAGCAGTTTGGAGCTGTGTCCTCTACTACCCCTTTTCATCAACCAGAAGAAAGGAAGAATGGCAGGAAGCTGGGGCTGGCAGCATGTCTTGGTATTCATACAGACACTGAATCCACAAATTACAGCCACTTTTAATGGTTCTGGTCTCATCCTTTGTTTTCTAGTTTTCTTATTCCTTTCTCAAGTCAGGACAAAAGTTGTTTATTTGTGTTAATTCATATTCATGATTTCATAAAGGTTTGTACTAAATGACTGAGGAACAGGGGTGCAAAAAAGAACATAGACCGGTGTTAAACTTCTGATCATGGAAAGCAGGGTAGAATCCACTGTGCTGTGACATGGGATACACCTCGCTGTGCCTCAGGAGCTTGGTTTTGACCAGCTGCAGTAGTCAAGACCTTAACTTAAGCAAGATACTGAACGATGCTCAATCATGCCAAGACAAAGTCCCCTTTCTCTCTGCTGCTCCACCTTGCTGTTTCCCCAAACCTTTAGCACCACATTCTAAGCAGGTTCTTCTCAATCTTTTCCATAGCCTATGTCCTAGCTCAGACAGAAAGTGAAAATTGTACAGTATGCTGAAATAAAAGTACTGAAGATAAAAATCTTGGCACCAAATATAATATTGAGGCTTCCAATCTGTGCGTGGTCTATTTCTCCATTTATATTTAGGCCTTTGATTTCTCTTAGTGGTGGTTGCATTGTAGAGGTTTTACACCTCTTTTCCTGGATATTATTTCTTAATTCTAATTGTAGATTCTCGTGAATATTCTCCATATATAATCACATCATCTGTGGATAAAGACTGTTTTACTCCTTTCCAACCTTTATGCCTGTTTTATTTTCTTACCAACTTGCTCTAGTTGGGCCCTTCAGTATAATGTTCAGTAGAAGTGCTAACAGTGGACATCCTTGTCTTGTTTGATATATATTAAATTTAAAGAATCTGTTTATGCACAAAGGAACATATGGGCTTACCTAGTTAAGTCATTCACCACTTTTACTTTTCATAGGTATGGCTAATGTAAAAGCAGCCCCAAAGATCATTGACACAGGAGGAGGCTTCATTCTGGAAGAGGAAGAAGAAGAAGAACATACAATTGGAAAAGTTGTCCATCAACCAGGTAAAGTGTATTTTCAGAAAATAGGTATCTGGATTGGGCATTTTGAGTAACTTGCATAATTCTTTGTAAATTGACGTTAATGCCATACTTGTCAGTGAGCAGGTCAGCTTTGTAAGAGGGTTACAGTTTGGCAGTTTTGCTAATAGATTAAAAATTAAACAGAATTGGCAATGATTAACTTGTGGTTTGATGCTGTTATTTTAAAATAGACAGGGATAGCCAATATATTGACTGATAGTATACTCCATTGTCTTGATAGGCTGAAATGAGGGGCTAGAACCCAAGAAATAAAATTTAGGACATTCTTTTATTTGGAGGAAAAATGGGATATATATATCCTTGTATCCTTGGGGAGGCTTAAAAAACCTATTTTAGTTTTAGATGTGGCAACAGAAATGTTATATGTTCATCAAGGTAGGTAAGAGTCCTGTTCCACTGTTTTCAGATGCTGAGACTTGAAGGATTAAAATATTTGTTCAGTTTGGGTGCCATATTTAGGGGGGATATTGACAAGTGTATAGTGTCCAAAACAGAGTGGTCAAAATGGATGTCTTCAAATTGACATGTGAGGAGCGGTTGTCAAAACTGGTTAGGTTTAACTGAGAGGACACTTCTGACTGCCTGCGAGTGTAAGAAGTGCTTCTCTCTGGAAGAGGGGTTATACTTACTGTAATTGGCTTTGGAGGGCAGAACTTGGAACAGTGGGTGACAATTACAATCCAGTGAAGGAGATTTCAGCCCAGGACCGTGCATGTAGTTAGCAGTTTGCACTTACAGAATGTTGGCACATATTTTATGTGAGTCTCATGGTGACTCTGTGAAATGGAAAAACTTCCTAACTGTGGCAATTGCTGCTTCTAAATAGCAAAACAGGGAGGGGTTCAGAGATTGAAAGACCTGACCAGGATATATTAGAGAAGCCCTGTATGAGGAGGGAAGGCATTGGATTAAAGACCTTTAGCGTCCCTATGATTTTATGAATATGAAGACTCATTGTAACTTTAGTCTGCAGATTTTGGATTCAACTGAGGCTATAAAGCCTATACTTTCATTTAACAGGTCACACAACAAATTTTTTTTTTTTAAAGATTTTATTTGTCAGAGAAAGCACGTGCACACAAGCAGAGGGAGCGGCAGGCAGAGGGAGGAGCAGACTCCCCACTGAGCATGGAGCCCGATGCAGGACTCGATTCCAGGACCCTGGGATCGTGACCTGAGCTGAAGGCAGACGCTTAACTGACTGAGCCACCCAGGCACCCCATCACACAACAAATATTTATTGTAACCTGTTGTAGTGCCTTCCTATTTAATGAAGGTATACCTGTGGCATTGGCTGTTACTCATGCATTGATGGTATGGCTGCTGCATGCGAATAGGACTTTGGTCCTGAATTTGTGGAAGTTAGAAAAGGTGTGTGTTGGTTTGCAGACTGGCCTGGCACACAGAGGGCAAGAGACTGAAGGAGTCAGGCCACTCCAGATTGGTAGGTGGCAGCTTTAATTAGCAAGGGAATGTAGGAGGCGTCTCGGGTGGCTGCAAGATGAGTAGATCTCTGCACCCACCTGCCAGATCTTCACAGTTTATATAGAGGCTTACCTGTGTTCAGTCACATATTCAGGTCAGATGGCCTCAACGAGACCTTACTCTCTCAAGGGTTTGTCCTTGGAACAGCTCCCACTGTGGGATTGGTGGGCAGAATGAGCACTCCAAGAACAGAGTAGGGGGTGAGGAGTCTCTAATCCCCAGATCCGCCTCATAGGTCAGCTGGCCATCACATCCTCTCGATCACCTCCTTCAACAGTGTCCCCTTTGGGAGACAGATTAGAAAAGGTCCTCATTCTCTGGGCTGACTTAGTCTGGGAGAGGGAGAGAGACTCTCCAGCAGATTCCCCACCTGAGTGCAAAACCTGTCATGGGGCTAAGCCTAACGACCCATGAGATCATGACGTGAGCAGAAATCAAGCCTCAGACACTTAACCAGCTGAGCCACCCAGGCGCCCCTCTATCTATCATGTTTTCTTTGTTAATTTTTTTAATTTATTCATTTGAGGCAGAGAGAAAGAGCAATGAGCAGGGAAGAGAGGGAGAGGGAGAAGCAGACTCCTCGCTGAGCAGGGAGCCCGATGTGGGGCTTGATCCCAGGACCCTGGATCATGACCTGAGCTGAAGGCAGACGCTTAATCAGCTGAGCCACCCAGGCGCCCCTTTGTTAATTTTTAAAGAACTTCAGCATAGCTGAGAAAAATCAAAATTATTTGGGCCATTAAATTATTTGGGTCGTTTGCCTATAAAGCAAAGCCTATCAAATGCTTTTAAAATCTAGAATAGAGGTTCATCAGAATCACTAGGAAGTGATAAGGGAAGGGGGGGTGAAGGTGATTAAAAGATATGGATTTCTAGTTATAAAATAAGTCATGAGGGTGTGTTGTACAGCATGGCAACTAGTTAATATTACTGTGCTGCATATTGGAAAGCTGCTAGGAGAGTAGATCTACAAAGTTCTAAGAAAGATTTTGTAAACTATGGTGACAGATGTTACCTAGACTTGATAATTTCACAATATATGTAAATATTGAGTCACTATGTTAGACATCTGAAACTAATGTCAGTTATACCTCAAAAAGATATGTGTGCACGTATGAGTACTTGTGTGTGCGCGTACATATGTGTACACACACATGCATGTATTTCTTAGCTCTGTCCACAGAAAGGGCCTTGAAGCGAAGATAACCCAATGGCAGTGAGCATACCTGGTGTCCAGATCTTGGACTCTGATACTGTTCCCCCACCGAAAGGAGCCAGGGCCCTTCAGAGAAATAGCTGATTCTAGGGTTGGGGCAGGATGGCCACCAGGTGAGTTTGGAACATTCTGTAATGCCAGAAATATGTAAGTGTTTAAAAGTGATAAAAGTGTGTTACACAGCTTGAAGGGGCTCCTACTAGCCAAATCTGAGACCATTTGAGCACCGGAGTCAATAAGGACACTACTGAGTGATAATGCCATTGGAAAAAAGAGGAATCTGTGAGTCTGTATCAATCATAATACAGAGTAATTTTAGGTACATGAGTGAATGAATGGTGGGGAGGGAAGGCTCTTGCTTACACTAGACTGCCAATTTTCACGTGGTAAATTTAAAGGGAGTGAAGGAGTAGAAAAATCCTCATCATGTACATTTAAAATTTTCCATCATAAAGACTTTCTAAAATTAGGAAAATGTTCTGCACATTTTATGGCTTTCGATTAATAATGCTGTTCAGTAGTCTCCTAATTGGTATGTCAGACCTCTGTTTTTCTCCATTCTAACACATTCTAGTAATCAAGTTTTTGAAGATCTTTGACTATATTTTTAACTTTCCTTTTGTCTGTAGCCATGTCCCGCTAATATTTTATAAGGAAGAGTGATATTTTTGTTAGAGTTTGGAGATAGTGGAATTAAGGGGTGGTAGAATATTAACTGACCTTGTTGTGTTGGAAGTAGGTAAGGGAAGGCAGTGATAGGAATGTGTCAAACCAACTGTGGACAAATGATGACTCCCTTCTTTCCACTGGGGGTTGTGGCAGTTCTCAGAGCTGGGGCTTGGCAGCAGCAATCATCCTAAAGACGTACTAGTAAAACTTTCAGATTTGCTGAGAGAACCAAACTTTGAGATTTGCTGAGAAATTGTATAGGATAAAGATCCTTAGCCAGGTATTTGAAGTCCTCAAAAAAATTTGAGTTTTACTCTACCTAGAGTAGTTTCTGTGCTGGGAGTTGAGGATATATAGCTAAATATAATCTTCACCCTCAAGTTTACAATCTCATTATTGAGGTGTTTACTCTGTTGGTGGTGGTGGTGGGGAGGGTGGCGTGGAGGGGGAGAAAGTTTCCCATTTGAAAGTGAATTCTGTGTTGTCTGTTCTGTTGACTTGCACTTCACTACTCTTTCTGTGTTATGTGTTAGTGCCCATTTTCCCTGTCTGTAAGCGGCCCCCTCTGCTCCCTTCTACTCTGGGACTCACCTCCTTTGTACTCTCAACAGTATGGTGGTAGGCCGAATAGTGGTCCCCAAAGATGTCCACACTCCAATCACCATGGAATCCATGATATATGATTGTACATGACAAAAGGGACTTTGCAGATATGGTTAAGGTTAAAGACCTTGAGATGTGTGGGAGATTATTCTGTATTATCCAGGTGGGCCCAGTGTAATTATAGGTACTTAAAAGTAAAAGGCAGGAGAGAGGCACAGGGAGATGTGATTATGGAAGAAGCCAGAGTGACGGGAGAAGCTGCTACTGCCAGTTTGGAAGTTGGAGGAAGGGAGTCCTGAGTCAGGGCAGGACTGAAAATGGCAGGTAATAGATTGTGTCCTAAAACTTCCAGAAAGGAATGCAGCCCTGCCTGCACCTTGACTGTAGCCCACTGAGACCCATGTCAGACTTACAAACTACAGATCTGTAAGATAATAAGTTTGTGTTATTTTAGCCAGAAGATTTGTGGTAATTTGTTACAGCAGCAATACAGAGCTAATGCAAGCACCTTACACATGGTTTCGGGTTCAAACGTGCTTGATGAATTGATAGTTTTTTCCTTAAAATTTTTTTTTAAGATAAATAGAAGATTACTTAATCATGGTTTTGTCTTTGATGTAAATGTATTTGTGTCCATTATAAAGTACATGCTGATAAACTTAAGATAGGGGAAAATACATTGTTCTAAGTCACAAAAAAGTAAACTTAAAGAATTAACCTTCCTTCTTTAGGACCTGTTATGGAATTTGATTATGCAGTATGTGAAGAATGTGGTAAAGAATTTATGGATTCTTACCTTATGAGCCACTTTGATCTGGCAACTTGTGATAACTGCAGGTACTTATTTCAGACAATGTTCTCAATTGCTAAAGTTTAGTGTTCGCATGTAGGTTTAGGGCAAAACCATAATTAGATCCATGTGGATTTAATATTAGTAATTACAATTTTTGTTTTAGCTGTTTCTTAAAATTTCTGTGGTTTCCATTTTGTCAAAGAAATACAGGAAGCCTGTGCTTATGACAGTGATGAGGACAGCCCTGTTCAGCTGTAGATCTGTCCTCCTTTCTGTGGGCCTGGTGGGTCTTTACCCTCTCTCATTAGCAAGTTCCTAACCTCTCTCTTCCCCCGGTCCCTGAGGGTCCCCTTTGTCTTACCCCGGGATATGTGGACACCTTAGTCGGAGGACTGGGGCCTTCAGTGAGAGAGGGGACTGAAGGGGAGAGAAGACAGGAGGAAAAGTCACATTCTTCTCTCATCCTTTTCCTTCTTCTCCTGGCCTCTGGCCTCTTTCTGTCACCCCAGGATAATGCTGCTCATTCCTCATGGTCCCGTCCCTACTGTTGACCCAGCACGTCCTGTGTTGGTGTCTTTCATGCCCTAAGACCCCATCTGGGATTCTTACTGAGCCCTGTCCTCTGTTCCCTGGTCCTTCTTCTGGACCTGCTACCCTAGATCACCTGCTCACCTGCCTGGAGGACCTGGCTTTTCCGAGTCCCTGCTGCAGGGGAGGGAGACATTCCCACTGACTTGTCGCTGGGTAGAATCCTGAGGAGAGGGAATGGGAGATACTGCGCGTCTCACGATCAGATCTGTGACGGGAAATGTTTGGCTCCCGGGGCGCCTGGGTGGCTCAGTCGTTAAGCGTCTGCCTTTGGCTCAAGTCGTGATCCCAGCGTCCTGGGATCGAGCCCCGCATCGGGCTTCCTGCTCTGCGGGAAGCCTGCTTCTCCTTCTCCCCCTGCTTGTGCTCTCTCTCTCTCTCTCTCTGTCAAATAAAAATCTTAAAAAAAAAAAAAAGTTTAAAAAAAAATGTGTGGCTTCCATTGGAATTACAAATTATAAACTCTGTTCCCATTGACACACAGTGGTTAAGAGCAACAGCATTATCACATTAAAGTATGGATGGATAGCTTTTGGGAACGAAATTATCACATATAATCCTATTTCCCTGAGAAGATGGAAGCAACTAATGTATCAGTTTAAAGAAAGTTGTGTAGTAGTCTGGAAAAAAGATACTTTTAAACTTTAATTAGGAACACAGCCCTCCATTGTGTTTCCTTTCAATATCTTGGAAGATTTTAATTTTAGTAGAGTACCTGTCCCTCTTTTAGCTTAAACTTCTGAGTTATTTAGCTTTCATAAAGTTATTCCCAATTTTAAGTCTCTCCTCCCCTCCCTGACCTATACCTCATTTCAGTGAAGGCCAGCTTCATTGGCTGTTTCTCTCCTTATCCCGTGTTTAATTCCAAACCCAGTTGGTTCTATGTTCCTTCCATATCCTTGCTTCGCCCCCTTGCCCCTCCCACCACTACCTCAGCCAAGGCCGCCATCAGCCCTTGTCTGGAGCACGGCACTGGTGGTCTTCTGACTGGCCTGTGCCTCCAGCCTGGCACCATTGGCTTCTTCTCCGGAGACGTTTTAGTCAGAACTCTTCCACGGTTTTTAATCCATGTAGACTAGAAGTGTCCCCACACTGCTTAGAGGGCTCCCGCACGTCCGACTGGAGCTCCCGGCCTCCTCACCGTCTTCCCTCCCTCGAGCCTTCCGGTCCCACCGGCTCGCTTGCCGGGAGTCCAGTTGCGAAGCGCACTCCTGCCCCAGAGCCTTTGCACTTGCTGTTCTCTCTGCTTTGGATGTTCTTTCTCCAGCTGTTCAGAGTGTTCTCTGACTTTTTAAGGGCCCTGCTCAAAAGCCCCCTCATCAGTGGCCCTCTTTGATTTCCCAGTCTATCAAAATCTCTGTTCTTTACCATGCTTTGTGTTTCTTTATAGCACTTTTATCTGTCATTATGTTTGCTTATTGTCTTCTCCTAACCAGAATGGGAGCTTCATGAAAACAAGGCTTTGTCTTCTTTGCTGTTTTTCTAGTACTTTGAGTCATACCTGGTGTGTAGATGGAGAACAAAATAAATGAGAAGAACTATGTAACTGACTCTACCTCCATTTTTACCTTGACTTTGAACAAGCTCAGAGCTGATTGGAAGCTCAAGTGTGTTGGGGTAGTTGGACCTTGTGTACTTAATATTGCTTATATTCCATCCATGAGCTATTTTCTTACCCATTGAGTCTTCTCATTTATATTTGCTGTACTCTTAGTCATTTCAAATCCACTGTGGCAAAGAGGGACTTCAAGTAAGTAGAAAGAAATTCTTATTAAATGATCTGGATCTGCTGCTAATATAATATAGCTTCTCCAGATAAGTAAAAGATAAAGTATTTTTCTGTTTAGAATTTTTATGCTGCTAACTTGACTGTGAGAGTTGAAGGAAAAATTATTTTAGTTTTTTAAAGATTTTTTATTAATTTGAGGGAGAGCGAGCACGTAGAGTGAGTGAGAGAGAGAACCTGAGTAGGTGGGGAGGGGCAGAGGGAGCCTGATGCAGGGCTCAATCCCAGGACCTCAAGATCATGACCCGAACCAAAGGCAGACGCTTAACTGACTGAGCCACCCAGGCGCCCCAGGAAAAATTGTTTTAAAATAATGTTTTGGCAAGCATGCCCCTAGGTTGTTGGACTATTTGAAAATGTAGTTTATTTAAAATAACTAACATAGTACTGGACTTAATTTATTTTCAGAGATGCTGATGATAAACACAAGCTCATAACTAAAACAGAAGCCAAACAAGAATACCTTCTGAAAGACTGTGATTTAGAAAAAAGAGAACCAGCTCTTAAATTTATTGTGAAGAAGAATCCTCATCATTCACAATGGGGTGATATGAAACTCTACTTAAAATTACAGGTCTCTGATACATTATACTTGGTCATTTTAAGTCCTTGGTTGGGTGAAGTTTTAACTGTAAACTAGGTATAATTAGTTTAGTTTTGCTTACAGAGCTAAAAAGATGCTTTTCCTTCTGTTTTGTATATGAGTCATAGTCGTATGTAATGACATTTAATAACATCTGGTTTTACTTTTTGGTGTGGCACTTTGGGGCAAATATATTACTATTAGGTAATGTTACTAGTACAATTTGGGAACTAAGTTGGGATTAAGAGTTGGGCCCCATTATCCTACCCGCCCACCCTCCAAATGAAAACCCTAGAAAGTTTCAGGAATTTCACAGATGCCTAAAATCTAACTCCACTTGGGAAATGCTCATCTGGAACAGTGTCAAGTGTCCATGTAACTCTGCTGTGTCTCAGAGTGGGTCTTCTCAACTTCACGTGTTGTAGTGGTGTGCGGAGATAGTTACCCACTTAGTGTGGGTGCCTTGAGTCAGAGCCTCCTGTATCTATCCCGGAATAGTACACACGTTCTATTTTTGTGCCATTATATAAAAAAATGTTGAGAGGCATTGGTTTAGAGTAGGTTGACTGGAAAATACTAGAAAATCCTCGTAGCTTCAAATAAAATTAAGAAACTACATTGAAAAGCCACTTACTGAATTTTATTAAACCTAAGACACCATTAATTAGAAGATTCACCATTATTTTATGTATCATTAAAATGAAAAAATGCCAACCCAGTGCTTTCTTATCACTTGAAGCTTTTATTTTATACTTAAATAGTGCCATTAGATTTATTAGTTTATTTTTTTGTTATATATCATGCTTGTGCATACATACATAAGAAATGCAACTACAACAGATTTATTAAGGTATTCCTAAACTTCTTTGCATTCAGAGTCCAATTCTTCTGAACCACTTTTTGACTCAGCTGTTAAAGCACCAGTGAGCAGGTGGCTGGTGCTGCAGCATTTCAGGGGTGTTAAAGTGTGGAAAATGTGATGTTTGAGAATTTAGGAAATGCCAGATATCACTTGATCATGTCAGGAAGAAATTTGAGTTTGGCTACCTTGACTGATATTTTGGTTCCCTTAACATATTGTGAGAGAGATCCTGAGCTTAATTCTTAGTGTGTTAGTCTCCTAAGTGTGAATAAATATTATAAAGAGTAAAGATATTATAATGTAAAGTTTTTAAACTAGAATAAAGACTTTAGGTCATTCAGGTACTAGAGTTTAAAAAAAAAAAAAAAAAAGTTGACATTGTAAAGATCCAAAGTTAGTAATGGACCAAGGAGGGAAAGAGCAGTAGTGACTGATTCTCTGTGGTGAGAGGTTTTTGGAGATGGCCTCATATTCAGACGGACTGTGGCTAATTGGTCTGCAGATTGTTTTGGCGAGTGTGACAAAACTCATCAGACCCACTGACTACTGGTACTTCGGTGGATTCGTGTGAAAACAATGTCACAGAGAAGCAATCAGAGTCAGAGGACACCTCTTGTACTTACAGTCTAACCAAGCCTGCATTTAGGCTGAGGTTCCACAGGCTTAGATAGAGGTGTCATTAGCGTTGTTTCTTAGCACTATTTAAAATCTCTTCAAAATTTCAAATACTTATAAAATTGCCCTTGAGTGAGATCATGTTTTGGTGTCCATGGATTTAATCATTATGACTTTATAATACTTAACAACTTAAATCTGGATTCTGTGTTGTAGATTGTGAAGAGGTCTCTTGAAGTTTGGGGTAGTCAGGAAGCATTAGAAGAAGCAAAGGAAGCTCGACAGGAAAACCGAGAGAAAATGAAACAGAAGAAGTTTGATAAGAAAGTAAAAGGTAAGTGGAGGGGTGCCTGGCTGGTTCCGTGGGTAGAGCGTAAGACTCTTGATCTCAGGGTTGTGAGTCCAAGTCCCACATTGGGTGTAGAGATTACTTAAAAATAAAATCTTAAAAAAAAAAAAAAGTAAGTGGCTACATTGATCTCATGAAGGACTGTTTATTGACGTGCAAAAAGACCTTAGGTAAGTTGTTCTTGTTTAAAGATCTGTCACCAGTAGATTGGAATGTTTTTTTCATAGATTGAAGCAAGAAAAGACTGAAAGTTTGCCGTCTGTAGGTTGGTGTTTGAGGCTCTTGGTGCAAACCTCAGAATATGGCAGTTCTAAAAAGTGCAGAAATCCTCCTCCTAAAGTGAATTATGTGTTTATATAGGAACAATGGTAGATCAAGGATATATCCTCGGTCAAGGATTTGGCATCAGTTCAGTCTTAAATATGACTAACAGGGTTATAAAAAGGATATCCACCAGCAAACCTAATTGCTTAAGATGAAAAAATCATGCCTAAGTGTTAGTCCTCTAATTTAGTAGCTAGAAGGAGCCTTCTCATGTCAGCAAGTCTAATCATTTTCCTTCTATGTGAATAAAAGACCTAGAAAGATAGAGTGACTTGTTACATCAGTAGTCATTAGCGAGGTGAGACCGGAAGCAGGCTTTCCTAACTGAAAGTCTGCATCGGTACGTTCATTCCTCTGTCCATACATTCGTCTCTCCATTCCTTTGTCCCTCTGTGTCTGTGCGTCCATCTGTGCGTGCATCTGTGCGTAAGTCTGTCCATCAGCGCATCCAGTAGCGTCACCAGGCACTGTGCTAGCATCCGTGCTGGAGTCAGAGCTGGTCCAACTCCTGTTGGAGTGTGGTCAGTACCGTGATGGTGAGTGTGGGCGGCTGTCGGAGCAGTGGGAGCACTCTGCGCTAGACCACTGAATCTCTAGAGTCCAGCACGGTGGGCATAAATGTGCTTCTTCCTGCAGCGGGTGTAGAGTCCTGGTGTGGTGTATGGTGCATCCAGGTAGCATGTGTTTTATGTGTTTACAGGGTTTGTATACATCCATTTAAAAGGAGTGTCTTAGCCATAATTAATAAATTTGCTTTTGTGTTTAGCATTTAGAAGATAGCTCAGATGTGTTAAATAATACAACAGTAACAAAAATGGATTGTTAGCCTGCCTTGTTTCTTGTGAGGATCTTTTTTCCTCCTTCTCAGTACAAGATTGATTTGTGTGCAGTGCAAAAAAGTTGGGAAACTGCAAAGAACTTGTAGTAAGTAGTCTCCTGCCCAGAGACCATCAATAGTGATGTTTTAATGTCTGTTTTTCTAGTTCTTTTCTACACACAGACTCTTTAAAAATATTTCTTATAAAAATAGCACTGTTGGACACTTACGAAGTTTTATCAAAACCTCATGATAAACATCCTTATATATGTCTTTATATAAATTATAGTGACTTAAGAGATCAGCTCCTGGATTGGGGGGTAAGCACACTTCTTTGGCTTGGTTAGGTTTCCTGTGGCAAACTGTGCCATGTAGAAGCATTTCACTGAAGAATCTTCCCCACATGAGCCACTGCTGTACCAGGTTACTGAAAACACCAGCAAGAACCAACTGAGAGGCTTTGGAAAGACTTCTTTCAGTTTGGTCCTTTCCTTTAATCTTTTATTAGATTATGTTCCACCTCACATTTTACCCCAGCCCTTCCTTCTTGCAGCATCAAGGAGAGCCTGGAGGGGGAAAGTAACAGAAGCTTCTTACTGGGCCTGAGAGAGAAAGGCAGAGTTACAGACTCATTACAGACCAGCCTGGGCTTGTTGGTAACTCCAGCTACCTGAATTGCCTCCACTCTTCCCTCTCTGCTGCCCCTCGAAGCCACTTTCCTGATGGTATTTTGGTGCAGACTATAGTATATGGATAAAGGAATTAGAAACTTAGATCTGCAAAGTGATGAAATACTTTTATTTATTTATTTTTTTTAAAGATTTTATTATTTGAGAGAGAGAGAAAGCACATGAGGGGGGGAGGGTCAGAGGGAGAAGCAGACTCCCTGCCGAGCAGGGAGCCCGATGCGGGACTCGATCCAGGGACTCCAGGATCATGACCTGAGCCGAAGGCAGTCGCTTAACCAACTGAGCCACCCAGGCGCCCAAAGTGATGAAATACTTTAAAAAGGGGGGGCTGTCGGTAATTTTTATTTAGATACTGTCTCTGTAGTTTGGTCAAGATGTCATCTAAAGGTGGCTAAGTTCCTATAATTTGACTAACAGCAAAAGATTATAGCATCTGTTTTACACTTTTTTCTATAGAAATCAAATTATAAAAATTTGATCCTATAGATCAAATATTAGTATGCAGAGAACAGTTCTTCTAAGATTTATATAATTTTTATAGGTATTTTATAGAAACATAAACTCAAATATAATTGGCTTTTTTTTTTACTGTATTAAATTGCTGCTGTTAATCACCAGATAAACTGTGGATTTCCCTCTTCGTTGAAGAGTTTGAATTTGCTCTGAATTTTTTCATGGACCCTTAAGATTGGTTTCTTTAATTCAGTTCCATTCTTGTTGGGATGAAGCCTGTCTTTTTGAGGAAATTTTTCTGAGTGGTATGTTTTCCTAGTCTCTCCAAATCTAAGAGTGTTTTCCAGTTTCCTTTGCATATGAAAACATGAGCATGCTCTTAGTTATGAAAGCATTACTCCATTGTCTTGAGTTTTCCTGTGCAGAGGTTGGTGTGGTACTCTGTTTAATTATGGCTCCTTCTTATTGGTTTACTTCAGAGGTCGGTGAACATGTTCCAGTTCTCCTGACTAGGCCACAAAGGGCTGAGAGTGGAGTAGACACTGTAGAGATTAGAAACAAGGAGCTTACCGTGCAGTTTGCTCAGAACAGAGAGGAATAAAAGCAAGTCTAAAAGTTTTTTAGTTGAAAAGAAATTGGAACCTGGTTCCTCTTGGTCTTCTGATTTTGATCCACAAAGAAGCTGACGCAAAGCTTACTTCTTTATGGAAAGGTAAGAGATTACATTTACCTGCTTTGAGAATGTGATCTACTTAGCAGTTTGGGAAAGAATTGGTTTTACTACAAAGAAATTTAAGTATAAATAGTATAAGGTATTGATAAATATAGGCAAAGTAAAAGACAAGAATTGTCAGCAAATTCAAATTGTTATAGATCTCTTAGATCCAAGAAGGCAGAAGTAGAAACGAGGGCATCACTGCTGCTCAGTTTAACTGGATTTCAACAAATGCACTATGTGCCGCGTTTGATACTGGATGAGAACTCTCCTTTGGTGCAAATACACAGAATGTTTTGGGCTTGCCTGCCTCTCCACAAATAAGGTGGAGATGAGGCTTTTCTTTAAAGTTATACTCTGTGTTCTCTTAGTACTGACAGAGGTAAGCCTTCTAAAAAATGGAAAATTATTCTTCATTGTTTGTTACTATGTACTCTTCCCCTCAAAAGAGGTGGGTAAGAAAAGCCCACTTGGGGGCTCCTACTAAGTGTGCGGACATTTTATATTCTGGCCTGTGGTTCTATTTATGACCGTTTTCGGGCTGCTCTCAAGAGTTTGAAGGAAACAATTCCATGTTCCTCTGCTTCAGTGTTTGGAGGACAAAATAAGATCAAAGCTTCATGTTGCTATTTCCTTGTGACTTTTCCTCTAGTTAACAAGAAGCCCCCTATGCAACTTCCTGCCCTTCCATCAAGTATTCAGAAATATTTTGTCTCCCTCAGCTAGTTCTCCTGAGTTTACCTCCTAAATAGCATTGGGCTTCTTTGAATACAAGCTCTTTTACAAAAGTAGGATATTAGGGCAAATAAAATACAAGTTTCAGAGTGGCATAAACCAAATTTTTCATTGAAACAGGATTTAAGGGAAGACTTCTTTGGGTAAAAAGAATATCTATCTGAAGATATCCATAGCAAGACTGGTTACCGTGAACATTTTTATAAATTTCCAGAGAGGTAGTCCACTGCTTTCTGTGCTGTGAAATTCTAGGCCTGCAGGACTAGGAGATTGTAACCCGGTAACCTGCTGTTTTGTTCTCCAGCTCAGCTAGGCTTTCAGTGCTGCCTGGCATGGCCCCTCCTCCTGTCCCCAGGGCTAGCGGCGAGGCTCTGCCACCCTTCAAGGCTCTGCCCTTTCTGCCTTCCTCTTCTCACTCAGCAGTAGGTGGTGACCTCTACTTTCCAAAGTTTTAAGTTGCTTAAATGAAGTAATGTAAAAGATGTATTAATCTTTATTTAAAAAATTCTTTATTTCACCAGATGTTGACATTTTGCCACATTTGTTTACACACACACTTTGTTGACCCATTTAAGAGCTGCTTGAGGACATTGTGATTCTTAATATTTCAGGATGTTATCTCCTGTAAACAGTGACATTCTGTGTAACTGGAAAAACAGTGTCATACTCAGTAAAATTAATAATGTTGTCTAGTATGTCTTAGACATTCAGTCGTTTTGATGTCCTTCACAGCTTTTTGGTTGTTGGATCCAAGGGCCAGTCAAGGTTGATGCATATCTGCCCTCTTTGAGGTCCTCAGCCAGTTTTGTTTTGTTTTTAGGACTATTGACATTTTTGGAGACTGCCACCTGTTTTGCAGAATGTCCTCATTTAGGTTTATTAGCAGCTTATTTTTGCACAATTAGATAGTGGGCATCTTGGTAGGAGTCCTTCCCTGGTGATGTGTCCGCGTGTGTCACGTTAGGAGACACATGCTGTCAGCTAAGAAAGGGATCCTCCGTTTGCTAGCGTGGTTGGCGTGGTGTCTGCTAGATTTGCCTGTTGTCCGGGTGCCCTTTCCCCTTTGTAATTAGGAGGAAATCTGTAGGCTGGACTCGGGTACTGTGTGAGCATCTCCTTCCTTAAGTCTCACTCCTGGGTTTTAGCACATGGCATGATTCTTGCCCCAGTCTGTTGTTACTAGGCTGGATATAAATGGTGATTTTCTATTTCTGTTATTTCTATAATTATTTGGCTTCCTTTGGGAAGAATTTTTTTAGTATTAGTTGGATTCATGGATTCTTCTCAAATCAGTGTTATAGTCCATTCCTCTTACTCATTTTGAGGCTCAAATGGTCTCTAATTTGGCCCCTTCAAGCTAACTCCTGACTTTTCAAGTTTTTATTTGGAAATCAGTTAAAAAAGTTCAGTAAGATTGCAAAGATTAGTATAAAGGACACAGGGGTTGTATCCTCTCTCCAGAGTGATCTGTTAGCGTGATGCCATCTGTGTCATTTGTATTCTGCACGTGACTGACACTTGTCCAAGCCATTGGAGAGGAGGTTGTGCATGTCACTCTCCCCCAGCGCTGCAGCGCATGCTTCCCGGGAACAGCAGTCTCCTTGTGCAGGACCAGAGTGTAGTCGTGAGATTTTTATCTCCTCTGTCACCCAGAGTCTAGTTCTGTTAGTTTGCCCAATGATGTCCTGTGTGGTTTTTCATTATAGCTCAGGATCCAGTCTAGGATCAGGCATTAGCTCGAAGTACCAAGTTTTTCTAAATTTCTTCATTCTGGAATATTTCCAGAGCCTCTCTCTCTTTTGACATTGACATTTTTGAAGAAGTCTGTTCCCTTCCCCATCTTGCTTTTTTAGAAATGTTTTTCATTTGGGGCTTTTCAGAGGCTTCCCAATGGTTAGATTCACGTTATGCATTTCAGCTGGAGATGGTACATAAATGACCTGTTTCTTAGGGCATTGTATCTGGAGACCTACGTCCATCTGCCTTCAATGATGATGTTAAAACTTTTTATTTCATAGGCCAAAAAAAAAAAAAAAGTTATAGCCAACCAAATATCCTGTTTCTCTTAAACACTTCCCCCGAGATTTAGCACTCAGTCACAGATGGTTCTTGCCTGAACCAGTCTTTAGTATACTTTTTGCAAAAATGGTTTTTTTCAGTGCTCTCTCCATGTTTAGCCAGTTAGAAGTCTGCATTCTGCAGCATCCTTTCTGCCATTTATTATTGGTATGGATTCATGAATCCCTGTTCTCCATGGCTTTTGGTTCATTTCTGTCCTGATTTTGGTGTTCAGATTGTCTGAGATTTGAGCTAAAAGGAATCTTCTTTAAGCTAGCTCCTCTGTCCTTTTGCCATGTCTTCGTTGTTGAGGACTTCTGCTTTTTAGCCCAATAACATGTATATATCTGTATTTTTATGTCTGCCCCATATGTTACAAAATTAATACCTTGAGTTCACACTTATATACCCAATTCTAATCCAGGATTTTAGGGTTCATTCTCGTTTTCTTTCCTTGTTTGTAACTCCCTTCTCTGACAGTGAGAAATCTGATTCGCATTATCCTTAATGTAGTTACTTGATGCCTCTGTATGTAATTTCCCATCACTGTTGCTAGCAGCCTCCACCACAGGGAGATCCTCCTTCCTTTTCTTGGGCTCCCTCCACCCTACCACAGATGCCTGCTTTACTTGCTCTACTTACTGGCTTTAGGACTAGATCGTTCAGGAAGGGAAAGAAGGCAAGAAAATGATAAACATACCAGTATTTTAGTACTTCCTTATTTTCTAGCACAAGTTTTTCCAGGAGTGTCTAGTAAATACTAAAAGATATGGCTTTGTCCTTATTCTTGATAAACTAGCTGAAGGTTGGGAAGAAAAAGCCATAAAGTCAGTAAACACCTTATATTCAGTTATGGCTAGTAAACTAGATTTTGTGGTCAGTATTCTAGTGTTAAGCAAATAGTTTTCTTCTCTCTTTTCCTGAGTTCACATAATGCTCAAGTTAGAGGTTAGCTTAGCAGTGACCGGGATGCAGTCAGATTTTGAGAGCATTTTCTCAGTGGAGTAGTAAAGGAAAAGTGGCTAGGGTACTTTATATCAGAACAAATTTGGAAGGGAGGTATTGGAACTCAAACAGGAGACCTCTTCTTGTCATTGACCGAAACCCTGAGGCATCTGTACTAGTCAGCACATGACTTCACTTTTTATTTAGAAAATACCCTAAGGTTAAAATAAAAAGGTAGGACATTCCACGTATGTCCAGAAAAAATTGCTGCCTTCAGAATGTGACAGAATATAGGAATAAAGATTGTTTGGATGAACACGATTTTCCCCCTAGTTTGGAAACTGTCTAGAGGTGCATGCATTGAAGCCTGAAAATAGTGGTCTGACACCCAGTGCTTCTCATACTGCGGGTGGGAAAAGGCAGCACAAGCCTTTGTGGTTAACAGGAACCTGAGCTAGACCATGCTGTTGGCATCAACTAGCGGTTTTATCTTAGGCACAACGTATGTAACTTCTTTGGGACTTGGTTTTCTCATCTGTTAAAAGTGGGATGGTAGGGGCGCCTGGGTGGCTCAGTCCTGAAGCGTCTGCCTTCGGCTCAGGTCATGATCCCAGGGTCCTGGGATGGAGCCCCGCGTCGGGCTCCCTGCTCAGCGGGGAGCCTGCTTCTCCCTCTCCCACTCCCCCTGCCTGTGTTCCTTCTCTTGCTGTGTCTCTGTCAAATAAAATCTTTAAAAAAAAAAAAAAAAAAAAAAAAAAGTGGGATGGTAGTTGTACTTAAAGGGTTGTGAGGATTAAATGTGTTTATATAAAGTGCTTAGAACAGTGCCTGATACATAGCGCTACATCTGCGTATCCTTAAGATACAATAAAGGCTGAAATACAAAGATTCAAGTATTTTGATACTACTTACAAATCTATAGAGGATTAAAGAAAATGTGTGATCACTTGGTGTACAGTGATTTTTATGGTTGAGATTATGTAACATACTCTTCCTTAGGTAGTGTGCAGTCAGAGCTGGGCTTGATGGATCACTGGTCAGAAAAAAATTAGTGTTGCTTTTTATTCATCAAACTGGAAACTGAGAAGTTATTAGCTTGTTAATTTCCAGTTAATACTAAGCATTTGGTTTCTTCAGGTAATGCAGTGTGAACTTTTAAAATGTGATTGGCTTAGTTGCTTTTCAAGGCATCCAACAGTTTTTTTTTTAAATGACATTTTAACATGATACAGTGGAAAAAGTTCTAAACTCTGGAATAACTGACCTGCAGTCACAAGCTATTTTTGTTGCATTTTCCTACCTGCAAAATAAAGTAGTAAAATAAAAACTGTGGTTCTTTTCAGCTCTTACTTGCTTTTGATTCTTAGATTTAGGTTGTGCTTTGCAATAATTGGCAATCCCTCTCCTAAAATATTGCTCTCATTTTATAAGATAAGGAACTGAACAGAGGTGCACAAGCAGTTTCTCTAAGATGAAACCCCAGCATAGTAGCCGACTTCTTGGCTTTCTAGCTACAAGCAAAGCTTGGCCTGCCTCTTACAGAAGTGGCCTCTAATGTACAGAACTTTGAAATGCATCTTGTCCTGAGTTATCCTGGCTGACTCCTCTTTCCTGCTGTGGCACCATTTTTCTCAGCTGCTTGAACAAATCCCATTTTTTAAACTCCTCTTTTACTCATCTTCTGAATTTGTTTGTTTTACTGTCCCTCTTAACCCACTTACCCTATTTCTGTATACCCCATTTCACGCAGCTCCAACAATGGGTAATTTTACAGGCCAAGCTGGCCAAGGTTCTAGAATCAATTTTGATTTGTTATAAAATTAACGTAAACCAGGGCGCCTGGGTGACTCAGTTGGTTAAGCGACTGCCTTCGGCTCAGGTCATGATCCTGGAGTCCTGGGATCGAGTCCTGCATCGGGCTCCCTGCTCAGCAAGGAGTCTGCTTCTCCCTCTGACCCTCTTCCCTCTCGTGCTATCTCTCATTCTCTCTCTCTCAAATAAATAAAATCTTAAAATTAATGTAAACCATATTTGGTTTACACACACACAAGCAAGCTTGATGGATTTTGGGATTCAGCTGAATAGCATCACTGAAAGACTGGCTTTTCCTTATTTTCTTAGAATTACGGCGAGCAGTAAGAAGCAGCGTGTGGAGAAGGGAAACAGTTGCTCATCAACATGAGTATGGACCAGAAGAAAACCTAGAGGATGACATGTATCGGAAGACTTGTACTGTGTGTGGCCATGAGCTGACATATGAGAAGATGTGACTAGTTAAGTGTCAAGTATTCACAGATGAATGAACACTCGTGTAAATAATGCTTCAGGAAGAAATGTGTATGTTACGGCTTAAGAGCAAGTTTCAGTTAGAGTCCAGCAGGTCTGGTTGTGGGCAAAATACTGGGTCTGGGATTGTTTTTCTCTACAACAGGGATGGGAGCTGAGGGGTGGAATAGGTTCAAAAGTTAGGTTAGAGCTAAAACTGAGAAATAAACCAAACCAAACCCTAGATTGGAATAGGAGGAAGAGCTTTTAGTAAGGGCAGAAGCAGCTGAAGCAGATTCTTCTCCCAGCAAACAAGGGACAGTAGTAGATCCTGCACCCCGGAGGCTAGCCGGGTCTTCTAGATGCTGTCTCCACGTGAGGGAGTGGAGAGCTGTTGTTGGACAAGGCCTGACTGGACAGCAGGAATTGAGTCGTGGCAGTCTGATCATGTTTTCTGTATCCTTACAGTTTACTACCATAGGCCCTAAGGTCCGTGTCTAGATAGCCCTTTTCAAATATGGATTAAAATGGAAAAACAGCCATATTGTCTTATTGATCAAAAAAGGTACTAAGTTTATCCTAACTTAACATTTTACAGAGCACTTACCGTGGACCAGGCAGGTGTGATGCGAAATGGCTTACAGGTATTCTCATTTAATCCTGGGAGGGAGGAGAACTTCTGTGTTTACTTAGCACTTTTAAAGGATGTGATAACCTACAACCTGACATCACCCGAGGCATCTGGATCAAGTTTAGTCAGTTTTGCCCATCTTGCCAAAAAGATCACAAGGTAGTTAGAGCTAGTAGGAGGATTTGTGCTTGACTACAGGGTCTGTGCATGATTTTTTTTTTTTTTTTAACAAAACCTGTTCAAGTTAAGATAAACTGGAAATTTTCAAGTTGTTCTTTGACATGGCTTTTTTAGTCCGGTTGCTACAAACAGAATAGGAAGTTTATATGTTTTCATCTTCCTTTGTAGATCAGCTGTCCTGGAGATTATGCTTGAAGAAAGGCAAGTCCAAACTAGTCCAACTCAAATAGACTTGAGACTGTAATTACTAATTGTTCTCTAAGAATTCAACATAGAAATGTTTAGTATATTAGTCAAGTGTTGATTTTTTTTTTTTTTTAACGTGCCATGCTAATTATTGATTTAGTAAAAATTTATTCAGAATGGGTAGCAAGACCTTCCTGGGACCACAGAAAAGCTTCCAGCTTGATGTCAACAGAGTAATAAGGGGTCTAGGCAGCTGACAACGATATTAACTGCGTGGGCCATAAAGAGCCATTGCGCCCCATGGCCCTAGGTTCAAATTCCACTTTTTAGCTGTGGGCCTTGGGCAGGTTACTCCATGGGCCTCTTTTTATGTGCTGGGTGGGCACAATCATCTCAGAGGATGGCTGGGAGGATTAAATAGGGTGAATCTGGCATGTGGCACAGAGTAGCCACTTGTTCATGAGCACGTATTCTAATCAGGACAGTATAGTTCTAGATTTGTCTAGTTTCACGTATGCTTCTATTCACTCTTTCATCACTTGAAGATGACCCCAGTATCCAGAGAACACTGACAGCCCAATGTATTCTACCCAGGTTGGCAAGTTCTTTCCTCATTTTCAGGTATAATTACAGATTAGTAAATTATACAACAAATTACTAAATACTTTCCAGGAAGAGCAAGCAAACTTATTTTCATATGAACCACTGCCTGAATTATTCCTGGAAGGGAGATTTAGAATCAAGGAAAACAAAGCATATGTTCGTTCACTTTGACAAAGGAAATGTTAAATGGCATTGATAGAATATTTAACGTTGATTTTTTTTTTCCAGATAGGGTAGTGACATGCCATTCTTTTGTATTAGCTGCTTTGAGGGGAAAGCAGCTACTGAATGTTTTTGTTCTTATACTTTTTGAAATTCAACTTCTAGTTTTTTTTATAAACTTAGCTGCCAAACTGTACAGAGCAGGGTCACATCAGTGAATTCTTGTTAGAAGCAATACTACACATTAAGAGAGGATCCAAGAGAAAAATTCCTCTAGACTTGGGATCAAGCAGGGTACACTGGGATCGGGAGGGCTACAGGGCAGTATAGGGTCAGTTACCAGAGCCTTAAATGGTTATCGTTTTGGCTTCTTGAGGACAGGAGCCATGTCTAACTGACTACTGTTTGTGGGAAGGAGGAACAGCATAACCAAAAGAATATTTAGACAAGAACCTGGGTGTTAGTCCCTTTCCTGCTAGTAACTTGCCATGCACCCTTAATTCTGTGAATAATTGTTTTAAATGGTATGGTATTTAAAAATCCTAGGAATTCCTATCTCTTGAGTAGACTATATTCGGTAGCCACTAAATGCGGGGTAAACAAGAGAGACTGGGTAACAATATGAAAAATACTAATGCATTCTAAATTTATGATGTAATAAGTTAAAAATACCTGTGTTGTACACAGGCACAGGAATACTACTTAGCAGTTGTGGGGTTGTTGATAAATTTTTCCTAAGGTTTAGTGAAGTCTTAAAATGCTTACAATTTGCAATGTCAGATAATCCCTTATGCTTATTTTATGTGCATGCTTACCTCAGTTAAGCTTTAATACTGTATAGGAAACAGGCTCAAGAATTACTTGGACCAAGTTCTGTAGAAACAAAACCCAAACCTAGATATAATTCCAAGTACAGTTTTAGCCAATCTAGGTATTTCTATTTCCACTTTACCATGTACCTCACTAGTGGACCTTGGACAAATCTGTCTCTGAGACTAGAGGAGATGACTAGATCGCTCTCAGGTTCCCATAGCTGCTACACAATGGACAGCACTGGGGGAAGACTTCAGAAAGCTGGCTGGCTCTGTTTCACCCCCCGAGATTGTGGTTTAATTTAGAATATAACTATAAAGAATTTGGGTAGTGCTACTCTGAATAACATTAATAAGTAATGTCTTAAAATATTAAGATACTTTGGAGAGAGAATTCCAAATGAGGGAAGTAGACGTTCAATAAGAAACCACTGATTTTCAAGTAGACTGAGATGATAAATCATGAAATACCAAAGTTTAAAAAACATTTTTAGTTTTATTTCAGCCATATTAGGTTATCCATGAGCTGTGAGAAGCTATGCTACTTGATAGTAAACCCACTGGTTCTATATACTACTTTGTAAGCTGGACCTCTAGTGTTCACATACCTCAAATCACTTTTGTGCCTTAAGGAGGAAAAAATGCCAGAAAAGTTCTATCTGTCACATATATAACACATCCTATGGTCATCGTCACATTGTCAGTCGGGAATTTCTGCTCTGTGCGGGCAATTAAAGGTAATCAATGCTTTATTCTTCACTGTCCTCCTCCCCCCCTCCCCCTCCAGTAAGTGAAAGGATACTACAAGAAAGCAAGCATTCAAACCATCAAAAAAATAAGACAAATTATTTTGAGATATTTTTAAAAAATCTTGACGGGGGAATAAAAGGACCCTCAGGCCTGTAGGGCACAGAACTGCTGGAACACAGCCAGGATATGAGGATCTAACTCAGCAGTGAAGAGCAGGTTCTCCAGGGTCACCATGTACTGCTGGATTATTTGGTGATGCTGTGGACACAGAAAAGGGGAGGCTTAGGTCAGGAAAAAGACCACTTGAGCAATCCTGCAGAACACTTCCCTCAGCAGCCTGCCCACGTTGTGGAATGGTGGGAAGGGGTAGGAGAAAAAAAGTGGTTATGCTTGAGGAAGAATGGGCTCCTGAAAAGCCTTAACGTTAAGAAAATGTAGTCGGAAATAAAGCAGGATGTTCAATAACTTTGAAACAAACGGGCCAGAACTGGATTTGAATGTAAACGTAATTCATGCTTCAGAGCAGTGGTGGCTGCAGGCAGGGCAGCTGGGTCCCTATGGACCAGGACAAAGGTAGCCCAGACAGGGACTGGCCCAAGATTAAAAACCACCCGGGAAAGCGGATGAAAACTATGGTTGCTGAGACATGAGTAAAGATACTTTGCACTAATTTCCCTTTTTTGTTTTACTGGTTAGAGCATTTAAAATTTTTCTCTTTTACAAAAAGATAACAGATGACTGGCTAATTCTCCAGTAACTACTCCACAAAATAAGAAACCCAAACTTCATTTTGTCTGTTAAAAATAAATAACTCATCTGTCTCACTGAAAATCCGACCTGTTGAGGCTATGTGGCAGGGGGGAAAGTGACAGAAAATGCAAATCTCTTCTATGTGTGCCTGTATGACTTGCACATACTGAGACCCCTGTAGGCCTAGCGAACAGCAATTAGGAATTGGGATGCGGGGCGCCTGGGTGGCTCAGTTGGTTGGGCGACTGCCTTCAGCTCGGGTCATGATCCTGGAGTCCCGGGATCGAGTCCCGCATCGGGCTCCCTGCTCGGCGGGGAGTCTGCTTCTCCCTCTGACCCTCCTCCGTCTTGTGCTGTCTCTCTCACTCTCTCTCTCAAATAAATAAATAAAATCTTAAAAAAAAAAAAAAGGAATTGGGATGGTAGAGGAGTCATTTAAGCCTAAATATTCTGATGAGCCACAGTAGGAGCAAATGGACATTAAAAGGGCCTTATAGATACTACAAAACCTGACAAATCTGACCCTTTTTTAAAATGCAAAATCCTTGTGCCTGAGAATAGTGATGTTTATTATCTAATCAGTTTCCCACAAACCTGTAAGAAGATCTGCTGGAGCCTCTCTATACAGTTCTTATACCATGGGGTTAATACGCTGGTCCCATCAGTCTCACATCGTACTAAGTGCTCGGTCAAGATCATGATAAAACGCTGGAAAGGGGGTACAAAGTTAAAGCAGTGTTACAGGGAGAATTCTTATACTTCAGAAAATCACATTTTCGACCAAGAGACCTCAAAGGCATTCCTGTTGCACTTGGGTCTTTGTCGTATGTATTACCAACTTTCCTAAGTTAATACTGTCAGTCTAGAAAGGCAGAGCAGTGCTAATGTTAGTACATCCTTTTTTCAGCACATGAACACCTTTAATATCTAGATTACTATGCTTGTCATTTTTCTCAGCATCTATTTTTAAGGACATAATCAGAAATGCATGTATAAAATGATCATCTATTTCATCAGAAGGGAAAATAAATGATCAACAATTGGGAATAACTAAATGAGAGAGGTACTTAAAAGTATCCTCACGCATTCTGTTAAAGCCCGGAGCGACGGTCCTGTAAGAACACTAAGTAAACACCACAGACGTGGTTACCTTCAAGTAGGAAACTTTTACTTCCTTTGTAAATTTTTGTCTTTTAAATTTTTATAGATGATTATGTATTATGATTAAAAATCTCATTTTTCAAACATTTTTTTTACCTATCAGTGTCCCAAGCCAAGATACCTGGAATATGACAAGGAAGAGGTTCTTCTGTTCACTCTGAGCAGATTCCACTTTTTCTTGCAATCTTTCTATTTGCTCCTCCAGAGCCCCATCTTTCCTGTCACTGCTTCTGTCATCATCGTCACTTCGCTGCAGGACGCACAGAAACAAAAGGAAAATGCCATTAGAATGCCAGTGTATTAAACC